ATTAAAACTGGGATCAAGATTTTCGTTTTCGGCAGCAGTACTTTCATCTTCAAAGTCACTAAATTCGTCGTCATCATCGTAATCAAGGGTCACATCTGAGTCGGGTACGAACGATGTACGGTTGCAAACATTGGGTGAGTGTGGATGTGGGTATGAATATGTGTGTTGGTTGGCGTGGGTATGGGTGATCCTATTGTCATCACACTCATCGTCAGCATGCACACTGACACTCACACCACAGACCCACATCCACACCACACCCACACTCTCTTTTCGCATTTTTGTGATTCATACGAGCAGACTGCGAAGAGGAGCATCTCTAGGTGCGTAGAAGTCTGACTCACAATCAACATAATAAAAAAGCGAACTATCGTATCAGATACGAATGAAGAATGGTCCACACCTTTTTTTGCATTGTGTCCCTTTCTCGCTTCTTCAACAGAAGTATCCAAGACAGTTTCAATGGAATTCTTCGTTGAAATAATATTGCGTCTCTTAAATACATAGAATGAGTATGAGACAAACTGAAATGCGAAAAAGAAGCAAACAATTAAAGCGTTTCTCATATTATAAAACTCTTATAATCTTACAAGAAAGTTGTGTTTTCAAAACTGGCAAAGTCTAAAATTATATATAAAAGAATAGTGGACGATAAAAGTTTTACATCACACGTCTGAAATATCAATACACGAGTACTCTATAAAAGAGACTTCTAATTAGATCAAAAAGTGTTTTGATTATGTAAGAAACTGTATTGGAGAGTCAATGTTTCTTCAGAAAACATAATAGATAAATTGGTAAATATTGTTTGTTTTACGATTAAATAATGAATAAATTGATGAGTAAGAAAGTTAAACCGCAGAAAGATAAGAATAACCAGATAGATTAAGGTAAGGAAAATGCTGTTTTCAGATTTTTGTACCTATTCGTAGGATTGCTCATTGTACGATGCACACCGTAATCTTCTAATATTTCTCTTTCATATGTTGATCGTTGTTGAACTGTCCAATCGTTTGGATTTTTTGGTGCATTTTTATTTTTCTTATAAAAATTATTCAATGCTGTGCAGACATCTTTTGCTACTAGTCCAGGCATATTGACATGTTGATCTAATGCGGTAGCTTGACCAAGATGAGACTTAAAATAATCAGCAATTGTATATTTAAAACCAGTTGGAACAATTCTTAATACTTTGCGAAGACGAGTAATAAAATCTTTAACTTGTTTGAGTTGAAATTCAGGAGTGCTGATGGCACAAACAAGTGGACCAAGTGCTTCAGATATATCGTTTGAACCTTTTGTAAAACCTTCCCTCAAATACTGTTTTAATGTTAAACCTGTTTTTCCTTTGAATGACATCAGCTTCTTTGAAGAGACACTCCAACCACAACTTTCAAACTGTTCATCGTAAACTTGTGGATTCTCCTGTTTGAATTCGTAGACTTGGACTTCAAATTCGCCTCCACCTGAGATGCCTATGATTTTTTGCATTGCGCCAGCAGTTACAATTACGGAATCATAGGCTTGTACACTGTCGAGATTCCCTTCATTTACTGCCATACCGCTGATAATGTCTTTCTCACCTTTAGTTGTTTGACCAGAGTTTACTAGCTGTGACCATCTAGCATACTCAGACAATTTGATTTTGCCCTTGTGCAAGGGGCCATAGACTCCCTTGAAGGATACGGTTGTAAAACGATTGTTCCTGATGCAGGTTGAACAGTCTATTAGGATTAGACAAAAAGATATGTCACAGTTTGTTATATGTGAAATATTCTACTCACTGTTGCATTGATACTTTAATATCTTGGTTCCAAAAACTGCGCGGTCAGTAGAAAGAAGATAGAGGGATCCGTTGTTATCCATTTGTATAATGTTTTTATAATTATTGTTGAATACGAGACCATTTGATTGATTAACCTTTACAACTGGAAAACTCTCGTTTGATTTTGCTGGCCATACAGTGATTTGATTCAATTCACCGATATAAATATTTTCTTCGCTATCGACCAGTACTGATGTGGGATGGTTCAGCTTTGGATTTCGTGTTAGATAGGTGATCTCACCATCTGTCCATTTCCTTACAACAACGTAATTTGGACCAACTGTATACACAGATCCTTTACTGTCAACAAAAAAATCAGATATTCCCCATATAGATCGATCTGAATCGATCAAAATTCCATCTTGAGGACTATTACGAGCTGGTGTCCATTTTCGCAGCTCATAACGACCACTACTCGCAGCATATCCAAAAGCGTAAATATTCTTATCATTATCTACAATCGCTGGTGACCAGAGCATGAAGCCATTCTGTCCATTGACAAGTCGAACTTGAGAAACTACGTCATTGCCAATACCTAATCCAGTAATTTTATATTTACCATCTGGTGACACTAGCACATCTTGTAAAGATGAAGATGCGCCATTGATACAAGCATTACTAATAAGCCTTGCTTGTGAACTATTCGCTGACCATAAGAGAAAACGCCATTCACATGTGTAGAAAGAAGATCGATCAAGAAGATACAGATTTTTTGAATCGTCAAGATAAAATCGGTCAGTGAAGAATTGATTTAACGCAGATCCATAACCATTACCACCAGCAACCACTTGTCCGGTTTGCTCGTAAGAACGACAGCCAACTTTTTTCGCATTATGTGATAAAAAGCACACTGCGAAAAATAGAAGAAGATGAAGAAGAAACTTGCCCATTTTCACTGGCTGATTGTCCTTTCGTTTTCGATTTACCTTGGTTTTAAAATACGCGAAACTTAAACTAAAAGAAATTGTATTTTCGTCATGGTCTATTTAATCTGGTTTATTAGAGGAAGTACAGAACAGAAGAAAAAATATTTCGATTAGTCAGTATAAAAAACACTGATGATATAATCATTCAGGTGTGAGTCACTTAGTTTCTGTAATGAGTGAGAGACGTGCGAAATACTGATACGACTGATAACATTTCTACGGTTTTGTGAAACTTCGTCTATATATACGAAAGGTACGGAGTTTCAGTTTATACTAGAAAACTCAGTTTTTAAGATAAAGTTTACCACTACTCCCTCCCCTTTTCTTGACAATGTCTTAAGTCTACCGCACAAAATCTTGAAAAATTCCGATAGGATCTTAAAATGTACTGGACAAGATTTTAGTCTGACTTGTTTTTACTCACTTGCACATAACATTTTATGTTTATATACTGACGGAGTTTCATCATTTTAGTACTATTAGCAGCTTCCATGACAAGGTTTTTTTCAAGCATAATCTACCGAGATAGCTGAATTTCTCTCCGGAAGAAAAGCTGACATGCAAAAAGCCAGGAAGCTTCTGTGTGTCTGCAGCTTTTTATGAGTAACAACTTGTAGCAAACAAACAACACTTTCAATTTCTGATTTTTCGAGCTTTTTCTCGGTTTTTACTTGCTCTACCCACAAGTTCCAATCATTGTTCCAACTTTCATAGTTTCAACCGTTGAGTCATTCTTCTGATGGTATATTGCTGACATTTTAAGTCCATTTTGTGCCATTCCAAATTATAGAGAAGAAATTGATATTTTATTCTAGCTGTTCCAATCAGTTTATCAAGGCTTTTTGAATGTTAAGTAATACCTGTGCTTTATTTCTGACCCACGAGGTTCAAAAAGAGATGAATTCTATTCCCGTCTAAAATGCAGAGATGCTGAGTCAGCAGGTATGTTTTTCTCAGTTGTAGCTTAAGCTGCCCTCTCTCGAGAGCTTCACTCCAAATTTGTCTTGGTTTTTTCCAACATAAAAAAATCTGACTCATTTCATGCATGAGTGAATAGCGAAAGAAACAAACTCTGCTGTTGCTCTTCTTATTACTCATAATCAAAACGACCCTCAGATCTTCAAAAGCAAGCAAAATACTTCATTTATCTCTCGACATGACAGCAAAATATGATAAGTCACGTTCTTGTTGCATTTGCACAAAAGTATATTAGTCAAACAAAAGATTCAATTGCTACGCACACTTGTAATGATTATGGCAAACGTTTCCATATAAGACACTATAAGGAGCATCGTGGAGAGATAAGTCGACAATTTGAAGAGTTAGGTGAACAACAAAATCTCTTAACCCAATAAAAAACTTAGCTGTTCTGTTAATTTTGTAGCAATAGATTTTTATTTATCTACGCCAGACGACAGTTAAAGAATGAGAAAAAATAATCTGAACCATGAATAGATGTTGAAAGTACATCAATAGTGTAACTGTTCCATTTTTTTTCGATAAAATAAACCAAAGCATGAACATTTTTTTATCTGTAGTATTTATCCACTAGAATTTTTCATTTTTCGTACCAATTCATTCATTTTTCTTAAAAATCTAATCTTCATTATCACATACATATCTGATGCTAACACATTAATCAAAATTATTCTTTCCTTGTTCATCGAGATTATTATAAATCACAACTTTAATTAATTACATATTTGCCCATAGGTATTAGAATAATCTGGACTTCAGAGTGAGTGACGAAAACTCGAGAAGATTTCGATAGAATATTTATCAGATGCAAGATAAATCCATTATCCTTGAGCGATGAACAAAATTTTAATAACCTAAGAAAGTGCGCAGTCAGTTTTTTGTAATATTTCAGCACATTCTAATCAAAAGGTCTCATTTTGTTTTTGACAAAACAGAAGTTAAATTTCTAACAAACGAAAATATTTATTTAAAGAAATAAAAGTTCATGCATCTTTAAAATATAAGACACGAATAGAAGTCTTTTATACAATTGTCACTACGAAAAGAAAAGTTTGTACAAAAGACTTCTATTCATGTCTTATTCCCTCGACTGTAGGGAGGGTCATATGATATAAAACAAGTAACGCGACGCGATCGTCGCTAACCCTCTACTGAAAGGATTTAGGCTTGTTCATAATGTAAGATAAGAAGAATAATGCTAGACGATTTATGTTAACATATACATGGCGAACAGCAACATGAAATATGGTCACC